TCCCTCCTTGCCCCCGGAGAGGCGGATGCGATGGTTTTTAAAAGAGAAATAAAAGTTTGCCGATCTGGCGCCGGTGGGTTGGATCCCGTTGTGGTCTCTGCCTTGCGGTCTGATCCCCAAGGGTCTCCGTGTGTGCGTGTGCCCCGGGGCGCCCCGAAGCCCGGCTTTATCTTCTCTTTTTATTTCCTCTTGCTCTGTGTGTTTCTCTTTATTTGTTCCTTTGGTTTTGTTTTCCTTTTGCTTAGCAGTAAAAATTTGTACATTTACACTTCAGATTGTTAATAGTAAAAACTGTATTTTGAATTTTTACATGAGAGAAGAAGAACCCACTTCTATCTATATATATATAAATATCTCTCTATATATATACATACAAATATATATAAAACAAATGGTCTGTCACCTGGTGGCTTTTCTATGGTTGAAAGCTTTATTTTTGTCATCTGTTCGGGAAGCAGATGGGATGAAGGCTCAGGAATTGCCTTTCATGCCCCTGGACACCCCGCGCTGTGGGACGAGGATCCCAGTGCCTGCTCCGGCGTCGGCCGCGCGGGAGCGGGAGGTGTCACCGTGCTTCTCCCGTGGCAGCCAACGCCGTGTCTGTGTGTGTGTTTGAATCCTGTGCTGCGGCTCCCTTGCCTAAACCCCGGGCTGGGCTCCGGGGCTGAGTTTTCCAGGATGTTTCAGAGGAGGAGATTGCAGCGGGGCCCACGCTGACACGCCGGAGGTGTGGTGGACGCTGTGCACACCTTTAGGGGTGCTTTTTTTTTTTTTTTATAAGAACAATAAAAAAATCCTCGTCGTAACGTTCAGAGCATTCGAACCTCCCTCCGTCCCGCTCTCCTCCGCTCCGGGGTGGTCGCACGTGCTGCTTGGTCACCTCGAAGGCGCGGAGGCCTCTTGGCGTTGGGGTTCGACCGTAGCCGCGCTCCAGCTGAGGACTGATGCAGGTTGGACGTCAGGAGAAGCCGGTGCCCACCGCAGCGCCGCCTCTGCTGCGTGGGCTCAGTCTTTGAGGGCAGCGGCAGCAGCGTCCGGGAGCCGGTCTAGCCGAGATCCGTCGCAGGTTGCTGCCCTCCCCAACGAGATAAGAAGTCAACGCTGGGTCAACCGGTGACCATGACCTTGTCTGAAACGCAGCGCCTCACGTCTGGAACTCCCCGCCCGCCCGGGGGGACAGGCGTGCTGGAGTCCCACAGGCGTCACGCACACCCTGAAATGCACCGTGGGGGACCTGGTGCGGGTGGTGCAGAGCCCCAGGCACGGCTCGCAGGGGAAGTCCCCGCTGTCCCTCATTCGTCAGTGAGGCACCAAAGCAGACTGGGGCACACCCTGATGCACCGTGGGGGACCTGGTGCGGGTGGTGCAGAGCCCCAGGCACGGCTCGCAGGGGAAGTCCCCGCTGTCCCTCATTCGTCAGTGAGGCACCAAAGCAGACTGGGGGCCGAGTTGTCGCTCTGACCCCTCTGCTTCTCGGGGTCTCATCCAGGGAAGGGGACGCGATGATGCGCCACGGGGCCAGCGTATCTTGGTGCACTATCGTGTCCGATTTAGTCAGGTTACTTGTTCGTGCCGTTGAGCATCTCCTGTCCACATGAACGGGCTGCCTGCTCCGGGGCTCTCACGGTGACCCACTCTGCCGTTACCCTTTGAGCTGCGGGGCAGGGATGTCCCTTCACAGCAGTGTCGATCCCATGGGGTGGGGGACATTTAGCACTGGACCCCCTCTCCAGCTCAGCCTGGCCTGGCTTGGCTTGCTCAGAGGTGGTGTTCCCTCCGAACGGTGGTGGCCTGTCCTGCATTCAGGTCCACTGCCACCTCTCCCCCGGGGGA